TTTTTCTCTTTTTCTCTTTTTCTCTTTTTCTCTTTTTCTCTTTTTCTCTTTTTCTCTTTTTCTTTTTCTCTTTTTCTCTTTTTCTTTCTTTTTTCTTTTTCTTTTCTCCCTATTTCTGCAAATCTTCCTCCCTGTGAGTTATTCAATGATTTAAATTGTTTCAGTGTTTTAAATATTAATTTCAAAAGTAGCAAAATGAGGACCAGTTTAGGTGCATTGTTGTGAGCAGCTCATGTTTTTGCAAGACTGTCTCTGCTAAAGGATTGATTGGTTTGGTTTTGTTTTCCTTAAGGAAAAAAATAATCACAGGTAACCACTGCTCAATCACAGTTTAGACCCCTGAGAACAAGGCAGATCAGGAAAGATGTACTGGAACACCTTGAGATTTCTGCTAACTGATATCAAGCCCTGGTATTATTTTGATTGTTTGTGGCTGAATTGGGTAATTAGTCTAACCTTTAAGTTACACTTTATGTTAGTAAAATGTGATTAGTAGTTGCCTAGCTTTGTAAATTGCTTTGTGCAGTGTTACATTTAGTTGTATCGTGGTTTTGTATTGAACTTGTGTAGTTTTTTTATGCAATTCTATTTTAAAAATGTTCTTTGCCCTTTTGTATTTCTCTAGGTTGGATAACAAAAATCATGGCAAATGACCACATAATTTCTGTCCACGTGCTCTGCATAAGTAAAAAACTGTCCCTGCTTTGGTTATGTTAGAAATGTAACAGGGTTATGTATTAGGGAAATGCAAACAGTTTGGATAAAACTAAGAGAAAAACAGACTTTTAAACAGAACAAATGTGGCTTCAACTGTTGACAGGTGCCCACTTGCTGCATCTTATTTTTTCCTCCTGAAGATAAACAGTTTTCTTCAGCTTGCGTGGTGTGAGCTATAGGCAACCATGCATCCCTAATTGTGAACACTTGTTAGTGAAGCACATCCAAATGTCAGCCAGGCATTGGTCATAGTTGCATTTAATTTGGTCAGAGATATCTTCAAGGGGGTTTGTTTCAAGAAAAGGACTGAGCTTTAGGACTCTTTTGGTTCTAGACTCATTTTCAGTGTGAAGTTTTGGCATAAGAAGTGTGATGTACTGGCTTAAGGAGACTCCAGGTACCAACACACAGTGCCTTAGCTTGTATTAAGTCTGTATTCAAAAATAATAATAATAAAAGAATTGACAGAGTTCTTTAAACCATAATTAGGCTTAGAGTGAGACAGTTTGGCTACCTTGGTGTTGGTGCAGCTGTGGTGTCTCCAGGACTCTCAAAATATGTTTTGATGCATTCATACAAGGAAAGTGATGCAATGCAATGCATCTATTAACTCTGAAGGAAAACACCCTTTTGCTTTAATTAGAGCCACTTAACACCACATACATGTTTTACATCTAAAAACGGAAGTAGAAAGCTTATTCTGAAGACAGAAACTGTTCATAGTGTGTATGTTTAGTCATCTTAAAATGGATTTAAAGTTAGTCATCCCATTGCACTGTGTTGTTCAGCTGCCAGATCCAAAAGGCAAGTGAAACAATGAGGGGTTTAGTTATATAAATATGAAACTGTAGAGTGGGAGGTTGTCTTCAGAGCTGTTTCCTATAACCTATAATTGGGTCTCCAAGGAAGTGTAAATTATGCCTGCAGCTTGAGCTGTAGTTAATGCTCTCTGAGAATAATTATTCTGATGGTTGTTGGAGGAAAAAGAGCAGAGGAATAGGTGCAACATGTGGACAACAAGTATAAATGTGGTGTGTATGGTAGCTCCACTGTTTGTTTCTTTATGCTAATCAATTCTCATGATAATAATAAGCTAATTATCTGCATTGATTTATTTCTGAGATAGACAGCTTGAGGGTTCTTTCTTTTTGAACCTGACCAGACTGGAAGACCTTGAAACAAAACTGTGAGTTGCGGCTTTTCATGTACAAAAGGTCTTTGTACTCAGTGTCCACACGTGGTGGAGAGGTTACACTTTGCACTTTCAGAGGTGATTGCTGCAAATTATCCACAGCTCTGTCACTTACAAATTTTAGATTGCTGCAATATTGGTGGAGTAAATACTTGAGGGCACTCAGAAATTCTAGTTCTTTCTTTATTTGTGCTTCTACAAAGGAACACTCTGTCTGAGGGTCACTACCTTGGTGTCTGCTTACTATTCCCTGAGTCTAATGCAATGTGGCAACTTTCATTAGTGGAAATGAAAGTGCTGTGGGATGTGAGAGATCTGACCTGGGGGAAACTAGGGCTTGAACACTACATGGCAGAAGTTGGTTGTTTTCCTGAAAGCTGATCTTGGATATCCCGGGTGTGGAGTTGCAGTGTTCAGGCTGGGTAACTGTGTCTGACTACTGGACTCTCTGCCTTTGAATTTCCATTTTTACCCAATCCTCTGTTGAGTTACTATTGCTGATGGGAGTGCAAGAATGGAGATAAATGTGTGGCTTGTGAAAAAGGGCTGCAGACCAATTCAGCAAAGTAAACATCTGCTGCTGAATCTTTTCAGGGCTCAGAGATGCCTGTACGTAAGCATAACTACACACAGAGATATTGTCACTTCTAGTGCTGCTGTCTTTTGTGGTGGTGTTCAGATGCATTATCTTGCTATGGATGGTATTATAGGAGTAGCAGAGCCCTGGAAGGATGTCA